TCCTGCTCGCCGCTGGCGCCGGGACCCAGCTGCCTCGAACCCCGGGAACCCCCGTGTCCCCCCCAGGACGGCGGCCCCCACCGTACCTGGCGGCCCCCGGACACGGCGAGGAGTTCCCGGCGGCCGGGGCCCACGGCAGCCCCCCCAAGGCCCGCTTCCTGCGGGTCCCCAGCGAGCACCCTTACCTGACCCCATCCCCCGAGTCCCCCGAGCACTGGGCCAGCCCCTCGCCTCCCTCACTCTCGGACTGGTCCGACTCCACGCCCAGCCCGGCCACTGCCAGCGGGGCCACGGCCACGGCTGCTGGGACACTGTCTGCCCAGCAGCTCCCCCTGTCGGTTCCTGGCCCCCTGGCTCAGGCCCAGACTCAGCTGGGGCCCCAGCCTGAAGTCACCCCCAAGAGGCAAGTGTTGGCCTGAGAGCCCCCCAGTTCCTGGATTTAGGGAGGCTGAAGAGACAACCCGTCCTGACTCCTCTCTCTCCCCTTTTAGTCCATTTCATTCTCTCCATTCCCCTCTGCTCCTCTACCCCACCCCGCCTTGCGGTGTGACCAAGAGGTCACCAGCCTAGGGCTTCAGTCTTCCTTTATTTATAAGGGATGCAGGCTGACTCCCACCCTCTGGTCTTGTGATGAGCCTGGGACATCCTCCTGCCTCTCCTCTCTCCTCCCCCCCGCCCCCAATTCTCCCTTCCCTCCTTTCTTGCCTCCTCTGGCCTCTCTCACTCTTCATGCTCTGACACGAGTGGATTATTTTTATTTTTTTTTTACATTTTGTATAGAAACAAATTCATTTAAACAAACTTATTATTATTATTTTTTACAAAATATATATATGGAGATGCTCCCTGCCCCCCTGCAAACCCCCCAGTGCCCCCGTGGGGCTGAGTCTGTGGGCCCATTTGGCCAAGCTGGATTCTGTGTACCAAGTACACAGGCATGACCGGGATCCTGTGTACCGAGTACACGACCCTGGTGTGTACCAAGTAGGCACCCTTGGGCGCACCCTCTGGGGCTAGGGGTTGGGTGAGATTTGGGAGCCTCCTCGCCACCCCACCTCCCTCACTTCACTGCATTCCAGATGGAACTCTATAGCTTTGCTGGGGAAGTGCCCTTCTGGCCCAGAGAGCCTGCCCCCAGACGCCCCCATCCTAGACTTTAGAAACTGGGAGGTGGGGTGGCCAGGGGGAATATAAGGACCAGGGGAGATGTGTGCATTTCGCTTTGTCTCCCTGTAAATATGGAAACGCAGGAAGGGAAGGAGCTGCCTGGATGGCACCCCCACCTCCTAGTACTCCCCTGGCCCAGCCCCATGGCAGAATAGAAGTATTTGTAGGCTATTTTTGTAATATGGCTTCTGGTCACAATCCCTGTGTAGCTAAATTCCCAGACCTTGCATTGTACAGCTCCCTCTCCCCTCACCACCTAATAAAGGAATAGTTAACACTCAATGTCATTGTTCTGTGTCTAGGTAAGACAAGGGTGGTAGTGGTAGCGTTTCTGTCTTTTCAGGGCTAACTTGAACTCCTGTCTTGCCATCAGCCCATTTGGCTTGCCTGCCCGCCCACTCTTGCTTCCTCTTTTGGCAGACGACTCCACTGATTGGACCAGAGGTGGTCACTTAACTTAAATTGAGCCAATCGGATGCTCTTGCTTGAGAACTTTTTTTTTTTTCAAATGGAGATGCTAAGAAAGTTACCGGTTGGTGGCTTCTAAGCCCAGGGCAGATGGAGAAATATTGATGGCCAGTTTGGGGTGGTGGGTACCAATAAGAAAACAAAGCAGAGGAGTGGAGCTATGCAGGGGGAATCAGAGGTGAGCACTTAAATGGCTCCAGAGTGTCGGAGGGAGTTTCTCAGTTCTAGATAGAGTCTCAGTTCCAGTTAACTGACCATTTATTCCATTGACATCAATGGGTTTTTATTGACTTCTAAGTGCCCAATGCTGGTTCTGCGTGGATCTCACCTCTACTTCATGCTCCCTTGGGTTCTGGAGACAATGCTGTACTCGTATAATAAATACTCCTTTGCACATACCAGCTTGAACGGGTTTCTATGTCTTGCAAATAATTGTGCCCAAAGACAAGGTTGCGTTTATGGTGGGGTCCTCCAGGAAAGGAGGATGGAATGTAATATTCAGTGGTTCCCCCTTCAGCTGGAGCACTCTTGGTTGCAAAAATCTACCCAGCAAACAAACAAAAAACCCAATTTATTAATTCATGTAACTAAAAAGGATCAGTTTCAGGGGAGATTTGATCTAGTGGCTCAAATGAGATCAACAAGAGCTGAGTTCCTCTTCACCTCTACAGACTTCTCTCTGGGCATCAGTTTCATCCTCATGCTCCGTGTGGTACCAAACCCAACTTCTCTTCCCACTCACAGCTCCAGCCCTCCCTCTTGGTTAGCCAAATAGATGCAAAGATTATAGACCATACTACACGTTCCAGAGAATTGAGAAGATTCTAGTCTGGGGGTTGATTTTGTAATGATTTCAACTGAGTCACTCATTCATCCTCTAACCTAGCATTTCTTAATGTTGGCACTATGGACATTTGGGGCCAGATCCTTCTTTGCTGTGGGAGGCTGTCCTGTGTATCGCAGGATGTTTAACAGCATCCCTGACCTTCACCCGCTAGATACCAGCAGTACCGCCTCCTCCACTGTGACAACCCAAAGTGCCTCTAGACACTGTCAATTGCCACGCAATGCAAACTTGCTTTCGAGCATTACTGTGCTAACCAGTCACTATGGCGATCAGATACAGGATGTGCTGACTTCCTATAGCAATCAGTCTCTGCTCTGGAACTGAGGGTGGGGTAAATTGAAAGGCAATCAGGTTTGCAGAAGCAGGAATTCTGTGTAAACAACCAATAAATGTTCACTCCACCTCCTCTCCTTTGGCTAAGTCTTTGGAGTTGGAAAATCTCTTTTACTGTTGTCTCAGGTTTATTTTCTGTTCATTTATTTATCCTCTACATGCTTATTAGGCACTCACTGCATGCCAAGTCCTGAACAATTTGTTGGGAGTAGAATGGTGAATTATGCATGCTCCTTCTCTGCTCTTAGGGAATTTCAGGCTAGTTAGTGGTGTCTTTTTGGATCTTACTATTCCAGTACGTGCTTGACATTAACTGCAAACACCTGAACTTCTCTCTCTCTCTCTTTTTAAAAATACTCATCTCCTTTCTTTTTTTTAAATTGAAGTGTAGTCAGTTTACAATGTTGTGTCAATTTCTGGTGTACAGCTTAAAGTTTCAGTCATACATATACATACATATATTCATTTTCATATTCTTTTTCATGATAGGTTACTACAAGATATTGGATAGAGTTCCCTGTGCTATACAGTAGAAACTTGCTGTATTTTATGTATAGTAGTTAGTAACTGCAAATACTGAGCTCCCAATTTATCCCTCCACCCCTCTACCCTTTCCCACCTGGTAACCACAAATTTGATTTCTATATCTGTGAGTCTGTTCCTGTTTTGTAAAAGAGTTCATTTGTCTCATTTTTTTAGATGCCACATATAAGTGATGTCATATATTTGTCTTTCTCTGTCTGACTTACTTCGCTTAGTATGATAATCTCTAAGTCCATCCATGCTGCTGCAAATGGCATCATTTAATTCCTTTTTATGGCTGAGTAGTATTCCACTGTATATACATATACCATGACTTCTTTATCCAATCATCTGTCAATGGACATTTAGGTTGCTTCTATGTCTTGGCTATTGTAAATAGGACTGCTATGAACATTGGGGTGCCTGTATGTTTTCAAATTAGAGTTTTCTCTGGATATATGCCTGTTTAGTCCATTTAAAAAAGTTGTTTTGTTTTCTTACTTTTGATTTTTGGGAGTTCTCTATATATTCTAGATAAAGACCTTTGTCAGATGTGATTTGCAAATATTTTATCCCACTCCGTGGCTTATCTTTTCAGTCTTTTAACTGTATCTTTCACAGAACAGAAGGTTCTAATTTTGATAAAATCTAGTTAAACATTCCATTGAAGTCTTTTGTTTACTATGGCTTTAACACTTGTTTTGCATGTAGACTGGAAGTTTTTTTTTTTAATTTGTAGGTCGGCAGGCCATGAGAAGGCATTCGAGGGCCTGAAGGACAGATGTTGTATTGCAAACAGGATGCTGTGAATGGATGACTCATTAGGCTGTGTCCTTGGAGAGGATGCTATCTGTTGGAGGAGAGTGTGGCAGCTGTGTGGCATTTAGTATAGTGGTACCAGTCCTTCTGGTTCTGCTTATCTAGGAAGATGCTGTCATATCTTTCAGTGCCAAGATATTTACCTGACAGATAAATCCTTTTCTTGATAATATTGACTGCCTCTTATAGCCTAACTTTGCAAACTTTAATTGTGGTTAAATACACATCACATAAAGTTGGGCCACCTTAACCATGTTTAATTGTGCAGGTCTGTAAAGTGTTAAGTACATTCATTGTTGTGCAACCATCAACACCATCCATCTCCAGAACTGTTTCATCCTGCAAAACTGACACTTAATAGCCATGAAACAACTCCCCACCGCGCCTCCCTCCCAGCCCCTGGCAACCACTATTCTACTTTCTCTCCCTATGAATTTGACCACTCTGGTCACCTCATGTAAGCAGAATCATATGATATTTGTCTTTTATAAATAGTCGATTTACACTGTTGTGTTAATTTCTGGTGTATAGCATAGTGATTCAGTTGTACATATATACATTTATTTTCATAGTCTTTTCATTATCGTTTATTACAAGGTATTGAATATACTTCCCTGTGCTGTACAGTAAATCCTTGTTGTTTGTCTATTTTATATACAGTAGTTTGTATCTGCTAATCCCAAACTCTCAACTTATACCTCCCCTCCTTTCCCCTTTGGTAATCATAAGTTTGTTTTCTATGTCTTTGAGTCTGTTTTGTAAATAAGTTCATTTGTATCATATTTTAGATTTCACATATAAGTGGTGTCATATGATATTTGTCTTTCTTTGTCTGACTTATTTCACTTAAGATGATAATCTCCAGGTCTATCCGTGTTGCTGCAAATGGTATTATTTCATTTTTTTGTGGATGAGTAATATATACATATATACTATTACATATATATGTATACACACACACATCTTCTTTATCCTGTCATCTGTCTTTGGACATTTAGTTGCCTCCATGTCTCAGCTATTGCATATAGTGCTGCTATGAACGTTGGGCTGCATGTATCCTTTTGAATTAGAGTTTCCTTCAGATACATACCCAGGAGTGGGATTGCTGGATCATATGATAACTCTATTTTTACTTTTTTGATTGATTTTTAATTGTTGGATTTTTAATTACGGGTTCCAAGTACAGAGGGAATGACTGGTCTGTGATAGAGACGTGGGGCGCATTGGCACAGGAGTGGTATTCAACACCGTATGATTGTACTAATCAGCTAGGGAGAGAGAGCAGAGCAGAGAGTAGAGTCCTGGACTCCAGCTCCAGTATTAGGGTTGGAGAGGAGAAGAAAGAGACTGAGAAGGAGTGGGCAGAGATGAAGAGGAAAACCAGGTGTAGCAGATGTTGTCAGTCTCTGGTCCATATCTCTTAGCTCTGACCATTTCAGTCTCAATCCCAACAGCCAGTGCTGTATTTGTCAGAGGGCTTTCTCGGGCCCTGAAAGCTTACTCCATTCACATGTGAGGCAGGATAGGCACGCTGGGGGAATTAATGCCACCAGGATCAGCCCCAAAGAATGACTGCCTGGAGCTGGTGTATACATACCTCAGCTCCCTCTTCTCTCTCAGGTGAATGCACTATGCAGTGGTTTCCAGTGGGAATAAACCCCAGATGACACAGGGAAAACTTACTAGATAACACATGCTTTATGAGTTTCCGTTTCTTTCCTTTCTCATTTCTCTACTCTCCTATTTATGTATTCTGAGGTCACCTCTCAAATGAACTTACTTCCACTCAAATCCTTGTTTCAGCGTCTTCTTCTAGGGGAATTTCAAATATGATAGGGGTTGTTGGTATAGAGCAGGTGGGTATAGTAAACCATTGTGCTTATGTACAATCATGAAATTCAACTCCCAGGGTTAAATTGCTCAGCTAGGACTCCCAAATTCATTGCAGCACTATTCATAATAGCCAAGATATGGAAACAACTTAAGTGTCTGGCAATGAACGAATGGACAAAGAAGAAATATATAATATAATGTGTGTATATATTGCGTATGTATATCATATAGTATATATAGGCAATGGAATTATATTCAGCCACAAGAAAGAAGGAAATCTTGCCATTTGTAACTATAAGGATGGACCTTGAGGGCATTGTGCTAAGTGAAATAGTTCAGACAGAGAAAGACAAGCATTGTTTGACCTCATTCATATGTGGAATCCAAGAAAGCTGAGCTCAGAGAAGCAGAGAGTAGAGTGGTGTTTACCAGGGGTTGAGGGAGGGGAAAATGGGGGAGATGTTTGACCAAAGGGAACTTCCAGTTTTAAGATGAGTAAGTTCAGGGGATCTAATGTACAGTGTGGTGATTATAGCTAATAACCCTGTATTATATACTTGAAAGTTGTTAAGAGAATAGATCTTAAATATTCTCACCACAAAAAAGAAATGGTAATTATGTGACAGGATGGAGGTGTTAGCTAATGCTACGGTGGTCATCATTTTGGAAGATATAAATGTATCAAATCAACACACTGTACTCAAACTTACATAATGTTGTATGTTAACTGTAACTCAATAAAGCTAGGGGAAATTTTTAAAAATATAAATGTCTCAGCTAGGGAGAGAGGAAGGTCTAGGACTGAACTCTGGAGAATTTTCTTTTTAGGAGGTGTGAGAGAAGGAGATTGAAAAAGGGTGGCCAGAGAGGTGGGAGAGAAAGCAGGCAGCATGGAAGGCAAGAGAGGAAAGAAAAGCAGGGAGGGAATTGTCATCTGGGTTTAATGCTCTTGGGAGATGGAATAGATGAAGACAGTTCTGAGGTGCTCACAGGCTAGGGGGAGCCACACAGGGACAAAGACAATATGAAGAAGAAACCCGGGACCTCTGGGAGCACAGATGCTGCATGTGACTATCCTGGAGTGATCAGGGAAGGCTTCCTGGAGGAGGTGATACCAGAGATATGTCTTTCAGGAAGAGTAGGACTTAGCTGGGAGGCTAGGAAGAGGAGGGTAGAAATTCTGAGAGAATATGGTGGGAAGGGACAAAATGGGATGAAACAGAAGGAAATCTCAGAAGAAGGGTCAGCAATTTGGAATGGCTGGGTCTACACTTCACTTCCTCACTTAGTAATTTAATCAATGGATGTATGGCGGTTTGCTTGGAGCAATGGCTGGATTTGGAACTAGGAAAGTTATCCGGGGCCAGATTACAAGAGCCTTGAAAGAAAGTGAAGATGGGGAATTTTAAACTTTACTCTGAAGGCAATGGGGAGCCATGAAACGTCCCTGAGTAGTGAGGGAATGCAGCCAGAGTCTCCCATTCTGGTGGCCAGTGCAGAGCACGTACTGGAGGGAGAAGACACTGCAAGATTTTGCAATGGGTAATAAGGATGCAGCTTGAATTAGGATGGGGCAGAGGGAATAAGGGGAAGTCAAGGAGAAAGAATAAGGGAGATGTGGCAACTAATTAACTCTGGAGGGAGCAAGAGAGGGATAACCCTGAGAAGTTAAGCCTGGGCAACATTCATGTAACAACATCAAAGTGATCTACTTCTTCCTTTCCCCTTGGAGGGAAGGGCAGGGCAGGGAGGCTGCATCCTCCTTGGGAGAGCAGCCTTGCTCAGCAAGTGCTAGGCAGTGGCGGGCACTGGGGAGCGTTGATGGAGTGAGGAGTGCATCTGTGCCACCGTCCGCAGAAAGAAATCGTAATTAGTCCTTCCCCCAGTTTTTGCCATCAGAGCC